TTAGCACCCATGTCAATAGCAAATACTTCCGCCTGGAATACAGTACAGTACGTACCCAGGCTGTAGGCTTGCTTAATTCGAGGTGTCTGGCAGTATACTCCTGCTCCTACCCCTTCAGGCGTTTTTGATCCATCTGTGTACAAGCAAATGTCTGCCCGAACCAGAGAATTTTCATTTTCGATCCAGGACTGCCGCTCAGGCAGTACAATCTGGTATCGAGCATTAATCACTGATAGTGATACCGCCAAATCTGACGGCATTGATAGCACAGTATCAGTGCTTATAATGTCTTCCGCAGCCCATTGGTAGGACATGTCGGAACAGTTTTGAGCATATTGCTTAAATCTGTAAATGGTTGTTGTAGCCACTTTCTCTATATGCACATGCAGAGGAGATAGGCCAAGCAGAACCTCCATTGCTAGAGTTGGCGTTGTTCCTAACGCACCAGAGATTGCCACTCCAGCTACTCGTTGAATTCGTGAAAGTTTACTGATAACTGAAGTCTGTCGGACTTTCCTATACCAGGCTGCTGCTCCGTATCAGAAAAGTCTTGCTTAATAACTAATATCCTGCTATTTTATGCATCAATTTCTTCATTATCTTCAAACTCTTTTCCACTGGGAGCTGAACATACTGTCCATAATAAAGAATCAAAATAGTCTCACACTTCTAATTCTAAGAGTAGAAATGACTTGCTCCGAGATGTCAACTTGAACTTTGTTAGAACATTTTAGATAGCAAAGGTTCTAGATTAATGAAATCGTTTTGTTGCATAATCGTGACCAAAAATGGATGTTTTTTATTACTTTCTTCTATAACTTTGTACCACCTTTCTGGTGAATAGATCTGTCATGCGTATTTTCTATACCTTTTCTCTATTGAGACAAAGTCACGATCGGATATCAAGTGAATATAAAAACGTGCTTCTGCTTTTGTCTTAGATTCTTCTACTAAGCTTTTTAATAAGCTTTGCACTACAGGCGCTCTACTTTTATGTAAATTAGACTGTGCTTAGTTCCTGTAATTCCTTCTCATTATTTTCACAACCTACTGTACTGTTAGAAATTTTCAAATTAAAAGCGTCGCAAGTTTTGCAAGTGTCAGATTTAGGTAATTTAAATCCAATATTAAATTCCGTACATGTAAAATCTAGCGATGATCATATTACAGTTTAAATAGGTTCTCTCAAAATTTTCAGACCTACTGTATAGATGGTCTTGAACTGATTGTTATTGGTATCACCTTTTGGTCGATTCACTTGTATACTCTAAATTATGCCTACTTTTTCTTTTCGTTCTCACGTACATGTCAGTGTTTCTGTGCATCCATTGTGTGAGTTGGTACTGTTGCAACTTCACGGCTTCTGCACACTTTAACTAGATTATTAATCACTTCTAATAAACATGTAGTAGATTCGTCCTGAAAATGTAATGCAATAACGTGAAAAAAACCTCTTTAACAGGTTAAAAAAGCAATGCTAAAACATGACATGCCACAAAATAATTAAAAAAATACGTCAAAATATTCTGAATCTGAACCGAGATAAGATGATTTGTAGTCTTTATCTACTACACTATCATCTTCTTCATTAATATCATCGTTAATTTTACTGTCTTTGTCACCTGTTGCAAACGCGCAGTCCATTTTGTTGACTTGTCAAGTTTTAACCTGCAGATTTTAACGCTGCAGTGTTAATGTAAGAACGAGATTTTAGGATAAGTGGAGCCATCTCTACGAATAACTTTGTACAAATTTTTATGCTGCTTGTAATGCTATTGCATGATGAGAAAAAAGCAAAATCTTATTTTTGCAGAAGGTGTGGCTTGTCACGTTCTAGCAATAAACCCGTCATATTATTTTGCAGTGAACCTTTTGAACTGGACGTGTCAAAATTTTCAAAACTCTTATTAAACAATATGCTGCCGTGTCATATAAAATTTTTAATAAGTATTTGGTATTTTCAGATAAAAAAAGATTTATTTTTTGCAGTATTTAACCCAAAGAATAACACCTCACAGTAATACGTTGAAGTATATATTGTTAATAACGCCATTGCTAAATTCTTTATGTTACTAAATGTTACTGTCAGATAATCTGTTCCAAGCATTCGAAATTTCCTGTTCGTAGTTGCACTCTTCTTCATTATTTAAACGATTCCGCTCCAAAGTTTCAAGCTCCACTCTTAACTCAACGAATATATGACTCCAAACTCTTTCTTGAAATTCTACCAGTTGCATTTCTAAATTTTCAATTTCCAACCATTGGAAATCATTTAAATCCAATGTATTGTAAGTAACTACATCCGGATATTTAATTATTTTAATGTTCAGAACTGTTCAGAAAGAGAGAGATCTTCTCAAAATACCTTTTAACCGAATCAATACTTTTGCCAAAACCTTGTAATTTTAAGTTTAGTTCATTCATATGAACAGACAAATGTGCAAATAACATTAAATTACTGACCCACTTATCATCATTAATTTGGGAAAAGTTTGCCAGGTCTTTATTCTCAAGAAATACTGTAATTTCGTCAAAACATTCCACAAATCGCTCAAGAACTTTACCTCGATTTAGCCATCTCACATTAATTAAACATCGACTTCTTGCCAAAGTGCAGAAAATCCTCGCTTATGGAGAGGTCGAGCAGTGATAAATTCGTAAAGTTCTGAAAATCCTGATTTAGCACACAGTACCTCCTGATGGATAATGCAATAGTATGGTACAATAAGATGTCTACCAATTTCCATAAACAATTTCATGAATCCCACATTTTTTCCAACCATATTTGGTGCCCCATCTGTTATGACAGGACCGACACAATTTTAGAAATACTGTGATAAAAATAACCATCGTTTAGTTCACCGAGAGAACATAACCTTGAAATTTTGACAGAGAGATTTTTTGTTGGTGGAAATCTTATCTAAAACCGTTTAGTTTGCTTCCAAAAGTATCAATTAATATAGTTCAGCTCCTAAAGCACATTTTTCATCCATCCTTTGATGTTTTAACGTTATTTTGAGGAGGAAATCCTTGATTTAAAATTGAATTTTTCTAACTTTGCTCATTGATGAAATTTGGCGTGTACTCCAATGTATGTCTGAAAACAAGAAAAGACAACGTTGAATATGAAGTTTTATTACGATTAATAAAGGAATAAGGGAGAAATCAACGGAAAAAAAATTTTTAATTTTGAAGGTTAGTTCCGAAAAAATACGAGAGATGACGCTAGTTTCGATGCAAGAATTTTGAATTTTGAAAAAAGGCGCGAACCTAAGAACCAATCAGAAACGAGGAAGAAACAGTTGGAGTGCCGGGGTATATAAAGAAATCGCGAACAGGCAGCGAGAGAGTCGTTGTCTGACCAGCGTCGAATCCACGTCGTCAGAAAAAAAAAAATTTTTAATCTCCGAGAGATATAACCTTTAAAATTAAAATAATTTTATAAAGCCAATTTAACCAACGATATAAAAAAAGAATCAACCTACAACTTATTCCGAGAACTCCTGAAACGTCTTCGAGATCATCCGAAATCCGAAGAACAGCAGTCCAATTTTCCATCAGAAGAATCCGTAAGAGAGACCGGAAACTACGAGGAATCCTGTAACCAATCCAGAAAACTAGTTCGTGCTCCGAAACCAAGAAACAATCCATTATCCTGATACCACATTGAATTCCAATCCTTTCTTTTTCGCAGTGAGTTGGATGATAATTTATTTTTCTTATTTAACATAACCTACAAAAGGAAAATCAACGAATCAAACTCAAAAGACACCTCACAAGAGTTTCCTTATAATTTTATCAATACTTACTTGTGGGTAAAGATTTTTCAGTTTGTCTTGTATAACTTTCTTTTATTTAACACTATTTTTCCAACGAGTTTGATTTCGATTAAGGCGTCAGCCATTTGTTATTTCTAAGAACGGATATAACGAGTTTATCCTGCTCTCTCTCTCTCGAAAGAATAAACGTGTTCTCTCTCAGATCGATGTTTTAGTCGATTATCGCAGTTTTCTATTTTATTTAAAAGTTACCTCTCGTCAATAGGCATTATTAATAAAGTAAATTTAGAAAAACAATTTTATTTTCGTTATTCATAAAACGTGTTAATTTTTTTTGTTTAATTAAAAGAATTTTTATCGAACCTTATTATTTTTCTTTTTGAACCTGAACTTGACCCGAAACCCTGAGTTTAACAAGAGTCTCATAGCTAAAGAAATCCCAATATACAGGGTGTATCTGAATGACTGCAACAAACTTCAAGGGGTGATTCTTTAGTGAATTTTAAGGGTACTTTGATATATGAACCATGGGCGAATTCGGCTCCCCTAAGGAGCTACACCCCTCTAAAAATGGCGGAAAATTTTGGTTTAACTTTTTTTTCTCAAAAACCATAAATGCTAGGAAAATGAAATTTGGGGACGTTCAATTTTTGTCTAGATTTTTCTTATGACGGTGATAAATACATTGGAAATATTTTATTTAGATAGACGAAAATATTCTAAAACTTTTTTGCCTCTCTGATGATCTTCGAAAAGTTAATAGTTTCTGAGAAAAAAATTAATTAAGCAAACACTAACTGTTAAGCTGTAGCGTTGTTAATCGAAAGTTGGAATGAATTTTTAATGAAAAAATCTTAGTAGGCTTTGCAATCTTTGTCAAAAATATTTTTGGCGTTTAAATATCAGTGGTTTTCTTACTATTATTATTATTTTATTTAAAATTGTGAAACGTCGAGTGAACGAGCGTAAATGCGATAGAACTTTATTTGAAAAACAATAATAATAGTAAGAAAAACACTGACATTTAAACGTCAAAAATATTTCTGACAAAGATTACAAAGCCTACTAAGACTTTTTCAATAAAATTCATTCCAACTTTTGATCAACAACCTCGTTGTTTAACGGGCAGTGTTTGCTTTATTATTTTTTTTCTCAAAAATTAGTCGTTTTTGGAAAAATTTTAGAGAGACAAAAAAGTTTTAGGATACTTTCATCCGAGCTGAAGTCGCCCATGGTTCATATATCAAAGTACCCTTAAAATTCACTAAAGAATCACCCCTTGAAGTTTGTTGCAGTCATTCAGATAGGGTGTATCTGAATGACTGCAACAAATAAAAAAAAAAATAATCACTTAAATCACTGAACGTTTCTATAACAAGCCCACATATTTCGTTTCCTGATGTACTTATTGGCACTGATTCCAACTTTATTAACTCTTCTCTCATAGTAAGGCCATCAGAATATCTCGCAATAATGGTCAACCGAGCATTTGATGTGATATTAATGGTTTTAGTTGATATTGTACGTTTTTATTAAGATGATTTATTCTTTCTTTCTTTTCTATGGAATAAGTAACATAATAACTTGCTGATGCTAAATTGGTAGAGCTTTTTACAAATTGAATGATGGAATTTGATTAAAATTTATAGACGTTTAACTACCTAGCAATGTATTCTTTCCTATCATCCATAGTGTTCTNCGATTTAAGGCGTCAGCCATTTGTTATTTCTAAGAACGGATATAACGAGTTTTTATCCTGCTCTCTCGAAAGAATAAACGTGTTCTCTCTCAGATCGATTATCGCAGTTTTCTATTTTATTTAAAAGTTACCTCTCGTCAATAGGCATTGTTAATAAAGTAAATTTAGAAGAACAACTTTATTTTCGTTATTCATAAAACGTGTTAATTTTTTTTGTTTAATTAAAAGAATTTTTGTCGAACCTTATTTTTCTTTTTGAACCTGAACTTGACCCGAAACCCTGAGTTTAACAAGAGTCTCATAGCTAAAGAAACCCCAATATACAGGGTGTATCTGAATGACTGCAACAAACTTCAAGGGGTGATTCTTTAGTGAATTTTAAGGGTACTTTGATATATGAACGATGGGCGAATTCGGCTCCCTTAAGGAGCTATACACCCCTCTAAAAATGGCGGAAAATTTTGGTTTAACTTTTTTTTCTCAAAAACCATAAATGCTAGGAAAATGAAATTTGGGGAATATGTTTAACTCATAATAGGGCACGTTTTGACCCTATTTGTACTTTCAACCTACTCTTCTAAGTTACTAAATATAACCACCCCCGTTCAATTTTTGTCTAGATTTTTCTTATGACGATGATAATTGATGATTTTTGGAGGGGTGTAGCTCCTTAGGGGAGCCGAAGTCGCCCATGGTTCATATATCAAAGTACCCTTAAAATTCACTAAAGAATCACCCCTTGAAGTTTGTTGCAGTCATTCAGATACACCCTGTATAATATGTAAACAAACAAAACACTACAATACCAATGCTTAAATCACTGAACGTTTCTATAACAGGCCCACATATTTCGTTTCCTGATGTACTTATTGGCACTGATTCCAACTTTATTAACTCTTCTCTCATAGTAAGGCCATCAGAATATCTCACAATAATGGTCAACCCAGCATTTGATGTGATATTAATGGTTTTAGTTGATGTTGTACGTTTTTATTAAGATGTATTATTCTTTCTTTCTTTTCTATGGAATAAGTAACATAATAACTTGCTGATGCTAAATTGGTAGAGCTTTTTACAAATTGAATGATGGAATTTGATTAAAATTTATAGACGTTTAACTACCTAGCAATGTATTCTTTCCTATCATCCATAGTGTTCTTCAAGAGCTCACAATGAGTAGTTTCAAAGTGTCTTTCTTTTTATATTCCATATTCTGCTTACTATCGTTTCATTACCCAATGCTCTGTTGTTTCTGTCGACAATTCCGTACATCTCTGTCCATATATCATGGAAAGGTCAGCTACTGGTACTTCCGCACTTGTTATCATCCAATCTTACTTTTTTGTTTTTTTGATTTTCCATTTTTTTGCTGGTAAAATAAAAAAATCACTATGAAAACTAATTATTATAAATTGAATTATGGAATTTCTTGTCTCAATTGAGGTGTGTCACCTCTGACAAACGTGTCATAGGTTCGCCATCACTGTTTTAGAGTATGTCGGATTGAGAAGCATAATTTAGTGACACCTCTCCCAGGTGGTGAGATTTTTTGCTAGACTCCTTCCAATGCAGTGTTAGCAAATACAGTGTGTTAATTAATTATCGTACCCGACGTCATCATTGCAAGTATGCAACCAATATCGCAGTATTTTTATTGCAATACGTGATTTGCGTATGATGCGTATTGCACTGTGATATTGGTTGCATACTTGCAATGAGGATACGCGAACGTTTTGGTCACAAAAGCAAATATTTAGGAAGTTTTAAAAACCAAGAGGTTGTGTTTGAGATTAGGTTGCATCAAATTTAAAAGTATAAAGCAAAAATTAATGGAGCACAATAAGAGTTGTAGGGCGAAAGCAATATATTCCTTCGTTTACACCAAGGACGACGACGTCGTTCGTTCTGTGTACGACACATTCAATTTGCTTCCAGATTCGCGACCTCGTTAAATTGCGGTTAAGAGCTGCGTCACGTTTATCTAACCGCAACACGCCCGAATCGGTTAAGTGGCTACGATCTAGCCGATAACACGTATTTACTACATCACAATGGTTATACATATCTATGGCTTTCTGTGAAATCTCGAGTTTCCGTCATTCAGTACGTGTCCTTGCTCGTGTTGCAGCGTTTATGCAAGGTATTAATATAATTTGAGTTAAGAGGAATCTCGACTCTACATCATTGTCAGAATTGGGCTAGATTTGTGTGAAATTCATAGTTTTTTTTTATTTTAACACCGTCTAATGGTGATGGATGGTTGCGAATCGGTCGTCGACACAGTGGATATCCGGAGAAAGGGTGGGAAGTGTATCCGGTTGGGCGTCTGTCGACATTGTAGATCGATAGAGGGGGTGGTGCGGCAATTTCGGCGGCTCCGTCGAGGTGTAACTGAAAAATTAAGTTTAAATCGGCGGCAGCCGCCAGGCGAAAAACTCACCGAAAATTTAATTCCGAATTCCCGGCCAGAAAGTTTTAACGCCCCGCGCGGAGTTTAGAAGTTGGGCCGTCTGTCGGCGCCCCGAGCCAGGTGATTTACTCGCTGGTTCCTAAAACTTATAGGGGGCGTCGTCGTTCAAGATGTACTATCACAGCTTTTGCACGCTGTTTACAGTTTGCATTGTACCCCTTTCTGAATAATATTTATGTTGAAACGTCTTCGACATCATCTTAATTCTTCAACTAATTTGTTACATCACGAGCGTTTTCATAATTGCAAGTATGCAACCAATATCACAGTGTAATACGCAAATCCCGTATACTGTGATATTGGTTGCATATTTGCAATGATGACTTTAAGTACGATAATTAATTAACACACTGTATTCTTAGAACAAAACGGTAATTCCCCCAACTAACTAGTCGAAACCACGAATGACGTCAATCCGTACGACCTGGATTTTGCACGTGTAATCTCACCGCAATAGAACGTATAGCGAGAAATGTCCCGGAAATGCTTCCGGTTTCAATAAACAAGAGAACGCTGTCGCGATTCGTCTCGCCCATCTTAAGACGTAGCAATTTCGTGGAAATTCTCTATGATGGATATCCAATTTCAGTGTAGCAGCTATTTGCGGAAAACTCTCCCGTGGGCGACTTTCAACAATCACGACAAAGAGATTGAACAAGATGACGTAAGGTACTTTACAACTCTATGTTAACCACGAAGACACAAAATAAGGTTGCATTCAAATATTACATGGTACAGTGTGTTAATCAAGTATGCAACCAATATCACAGTATTTTTATTGGAATACGCGATTTGCGTATGATGCGTAGTGAACTGCGATATTGGTTGCATACTTGACGTCGGGTACGATAATTAATTAACACACTGTATGTGTTGGTTTCATTGTTTTTTTAGAAACTAATTGGTTGCCGAATTTCCGCAATCCCCCTCAATGCGGAAGCCGTTTTCAAATTCTGTCTCT